TTTCAAAATCATACTATTTTATGGCTTTCCAGACAGGGTAAGGCTGTATATTTTTAGTTCTATTCTAACTTAGATCTTACATATATACAATATATATTTTAAAAAAAATAAAATCTAAATAAACACCTTTTTTATGGTCTGAACTCTGGATGTCAAGAATAAAATGGCTCAAAGAAACAAAATCCAAATATCATTTTCTCAATAAGAATTAACACGAAGATTCATTCAACGAAGAGTAAATAATCAATCAGTATAGTTTCATATATTATATTTAAAAATATTTTTTTTATAAACATAATAAATAGATCCTGAATGTTAAAATTTTTTTTAATATTTACTCATCATGATCATAAATTTTAAAATAATAATAAAAATCACAAAAAAAAATAATATAAAATATTTATTTTAACACGATACCGATAAAATGAAATAAAAAATGATAAAATAATTTCGGTAATTCAAACAAAATTTTTTTAATAGAGAAAATTTAAAAAAAAAACAAATGTTTTCAACACCTAAAAATATTGGGGAAAAAAAACTAAACAGGTAATAAAAATATAAGGTTAAAGACTTTAAAAAATTTTTTGGTTCGTAATGAATATAAAAATTTATGCATTAACATTTACACTGTATTTATTATGTAGAATAAATGAAATAGATATATAGTATATAGAATCGAATATAAATGTCGAATAAAAATTACTGATTATTTATATTTGATTCCGAATATGAATTTTTAATTATTTGTAAAGATTGACGAATATAAATTCCTGATTAGCCTAAATAAAGAGGTCTCGGATTGTGTTAGTTCTTATGTTGGTCTGAATAGTGTTCTAATGTAATTAGTTATATTTTTATGAAAGCTTAAACGTTAAACAAAGGTAGTGTATTAGTAACTTTTTGGGAGAAAATATAATTCTAACTTGTTATATTCAATTGTTTTACAAAAATACCGCCTCGATGTAGAGCAAAAAAAAACAATCTCACACGCCTAAAATGTAGGGCTAAGAAATAAAGCGATTAGAGCTCTAAATTTTCATTATTGGAAGACACATTTTCAAGAAATCATTTCGGAGGTTGGCCTATGACTCAGAACAGGAAGAATAAAAAAACGGACATATATTAGCTGCCTAACCCTTTAACAACCTCAACAAATGAATTGAATTTTTCAATTGCAACGTTTAAGAACAAGAGATATTACGAATGAAACGTAATTGCATTCATTTTATTTTTGATCAATAGCCTACATTATTTATTTTTCACACTCAATTATTTTATTATGTTATAAAATAATAAATAGATTGACACTTCGTATATTCAATTAATCGTAGACTTACACCAATACCACCAAATGAAGTTATAAATAAATCACTTTAAAAAAGATTGCTAAATTATTAATACAGTGTAAATGAATGTCATGGTTTGGAGCTGATTTTCATAGACAGAACCGCGGAACCAATATTTTATTATAGAATAAAAATATCATTCCATTTTCCATTTTTGAGTCTTAATCCAATACACGTGAGATTATATTATTTTAAGTTATAATCTATTTGTTTTCTTAGTACTAAGTTATCTGCTTTAGAAAACAATTGTTCACAAGAAACTGTTTTGAATTTTTTTTTTATTCCCTTTCAACAATCGCAATTTAATTTACAAGCAAAGAATGATTTTTAAATCATAACATTAATTTAAATCTAATATACCTGTTGACTTACTGACTTTAAAAAAAATTTTGAAACGCCTGTTCCTTTTAGCAAGTAAGATTTTGAAATGATTTAATTGGATTTCCTAAACTTAACATTCAAATATTTTATAAACTTAGAGTATAGATTAGAGGTCAATAATAAAAATAATTAGTAAAAGTACATATAAATATATCGATAAAAACGTAGAAACTAGTTTTGTGTATGTATGAATAAAACTTAAACAGATTCTGGAGTTTCTTAATACTGTTAATATTTATTTTATAAAAAGATATTAAAATTTTCGATCGGTCCAAAATGAACCTAGCCGAAAACCGATTGCAAAAATGGAACTGCGGATACGACTCTAATTTTTACGGTTCAGTCCAGCGCGAGAAAACCGGATCGCTGACCTTCATTAGTAGAGTGAGATTAAAATCATAATCCTTTAAAAACCCCGCCAAGATGCTATAATGGGCCTATCATTATGTTTAATCATTTCATAAATATAAATCAGTGGCATAACCAGAGCGTGGAACAGAAGAGCCTCTTTTTTCAAAAAAATGAAGTAAACTTCAAAATTTAATTCAATTATAATATCCAATTTTATTTGCACCAAAGATTCTTTTTATCTGTAATGTGTACTGTTACTCGCCAACGAACTCTACTTGTTAATTTCAACATTACGATTTTTTTTAATGATTTTAAAAAATTTAAATATAAGATTAAGATTGTATATTAAATTCGCTTGCCTGATTCAATATTAATCTTTTTAATAGCTTTGATTAGGAAAGTTTGAAGAAAAAATAATATTAATAAAGTGATTGTAAAAAATTACAAAAGATTAGCATAAAAACTTTATGGGATGCTTGATCTCAAAGGGCAGATTTTGCAAAAAATTGAGATAATTTATCCTCCTTCAATCCATTCTCTACTCTCGACAAAAAAAAGGATATCTCGAAATTAACAGTTCTCTAGGGTTTTCAAAGCATTTTTTTCAATAACGCTATAAGTTTATTTTTAATAGGTTCGTTCTGTGGAACTTTTATCCATGGCCATTGAAGTTTGAATGCTGGATGTATAAATGCAGAAAGAACATATTGATCCTTATATATATGTTCAAATCTTTAAAAAAAATAAAATATATGTAATTAATTGAGAGTGATAGGTTTAATACCTTTTATTAATCCCATTTAATACGGCGTCTATCAATGGTTAACCATATTTGAGGCCACTAATTTTTTTAATTTTATAACTATCGCTATTGTTGGGGTCAAATATCCCAAATGCATTATTTCTTCAAATTTAATGATTTAACTTAGTTATATCATATAAAATCAAATAATTAATATTAAAATCAAATGTCGTTTTAAATTGGAACCTGAAGATTTTGACAATATAATACTTTTTGGCCACATTTTACACTTGGTAAGCATTGGATTAGTTCCTTCAATATAGGATGTTAATGTAAAACATTTATCATATTTGGCCATAGTAATGATAATTCATCTGATTTTGGATTTTCAGAATCAGATGATGGGGATTAAATAATAATATCCATGCTTATGCTAATCTATTAAATTAAAATATAAACAATATTCACATTAATAAATTATGTGTTAAAAAAATTGAAATGTGAAAAGGAAATACAAAGCCGATTAAAAAATATAAATAATACATTTTTTAAAAAAATCGGAAATATTAAATTTTTCAAATAAATAAATATAAAAATATTTTTAAAATTGAACGAACATTAAATTCGAACGCGTTCGTCATAAAAAAGGAACGCGTTCACGTTCAAAGTTAGTCAAAAATAAAAGGAACGCCGTTCATCATTTTTTTCAAAAAAATGAACTTTATTCACGACAATATTATAAATTCATGATGAATTTTTTTTCAGGAGTTTTTTGAATTTAAATTTCATTGTTCAATTACATTGTAATTGTTTATATGTGACTGTGAGCTTATTTTAAAAAAAAATAAAATAACAAGGAATTCTTTTTTAACCCATTTCCATCAAGGGATATTATATTATATATTAAACATGATGGAAAAAACGAGAGATGAATCCATGACCGCCGTTCAAATTATATATTTGTTTAACCAAAAATATTAATTACAATTTGACCATAATTTATTATGGTGCTATAAAAGGAATAAAACAATAATTCATAATCTATTTTAATAAAAAAGAGATATATTATTTGATGTGATATCTTTATCCTTCTTACTTTTAAAAAATAAAAATTCAAAAGATAAAATTTATCAATAAATTATAAATAAATAACCATAAAATTTTTTAACCCTCTTTTTTAAATTTATCAAAATACGATACATTTATACTTTTAATAAACAACATTACCATATCACCTGGTATAAAAAAAAATTGCGATTCACGACAAAAATTTTGTAACTATGCTTACAATAAAGACTATAGTTACATTAATTAAGGTCATAATTATTTCATTTTTTTTAAAATTATAATTTATTTATTTTAATACAAATTTAACTAGTAAAGTAGTATCAGTATATTAAAATACATCAATATATAATATAACCTTCTGAGGAGAAGCTGAATACAAAAATAAAATTTCATCTGGTGGTAATGTAATGTACTTTACCTTTTTTCTCCAATTTTAAAGATATGCGTATTTATAAGATAATTATTTATTAAATTTTGATAAAAATAATAATTCTTAATAATGATTTCCATAGTAAAGCTACTACCAAAGTTTTGCATCTTAGATTTTGATAAATTTTATTTTATTTTGAAAAGAAAGATTAAAATTATTTTATTTTTTTTTAAAAAAAGAAAAATCAAGGACAAATGCAATGCTAAAAGATTAGAAGAGCGAATTTACATTATTAGTGGAAATAATTTTTTTAATGATAATTCGGTTGTAATAAATTTTCGAAATTTATTAAATTTGGCTAGATATAAAATGATTAAATAAAACAAATATATAAATTTTTATTTCTAAATTAAGTTTCAAACATAATTTATGCGATATTTTGATTAATATTGCAAATTTGGCTAAAATTATATATTTATTAATAAATATATTGTTCATTTGTTTATAAATATAAATTGGCAATCAGATTTTATTTTGTTTAAGCAAATATCCTATTTCTATTTTTATTAAAAATGCTTCAAATTAGAAAAGACTTAATCACGTGTAGTTCTCAAACGTGAAAAAAAAGAAATTGGTTAACAGGAAGCAAAACAAGCTAGCAAAATCAAAACAAAAAGGCACTTTTTGAAAAAAACATAAAAACCAAAAAATAGGAAAATATATTATATCATATTATGTATACTTCGCCGAGAATTGGCGCAAACTGTGAATGCAGGGCTTGGCATATCTAAATTATATAACAAAAAAGGTGCATTTCGATTTAGCTTTCCTAGGATTTTGACACATAAAATTGTCAATAATTTTTAAATTTTTCAGATGTCTAAGGGCAACTCTAACAACCAGGCGCGTAGCCTGAAATTTTCTGCGGGGGGAGGGGGAGGTTTATAGTTTTTTGGAACATTAAAAATTTATTAGAACTAATCAATATAAAATATATTATAACCAATTATATTAAAAATGACAATTTCGAACACAAATAATAAAATATTGGAAGAGACAAAATAAGTATGAGCGATGTAAATCACGGTAAAATATAGAATTAAACATTATATGATGATTTAATAATTTAATCAAAATATCGTTCATATATAAAAATTTAATCCTCTTTGCGATTGCGCCAATTTTTCAAAAATTTTTTACTAATCAGTATTGTTGCCAAAATATACAGTAACTAGGATATCGGCAAGAATGGCATGGAATGTGACTTAATTTGATGATGGATGTCACCTTTTATTTGATACTAATTCCAATTTTTAATTTTACCCCTTCCCCTCCAGACCTATGTCCCATCCCTTAAGACAAAGAGTGAATATTATCATTTGAGTTAAAATATCTTAAGTATTCTAATCAATATTTTTACATAAACTAAAATTACCATTGATAAACTAAATCTGAATTTTAGTATCAACAAAATATAGAATAAATATTTAGAGAATACTTATAGAAATTTTTGATATCTATTTTAATTTTAACAATATTAAAAATAAGAGTTTATACAAAAAAAAATTTACAGAGGGGAGGGTAATCTCCGGCTTCATTGAGGTTCAGTGTGGGGGGAGGGAGGTGCTTAGAAGGCCTAGACCATAATCAGCGAAGGATGCTATATATCATTTACTTAGGGATATAAAACAAAGAAAAAACGGTATAAAAACAAGGTATTTCAACATCCTCAGCTGCCATTAGGTGATGCTGGTTTGTCCAGAGAAATATACATGTTGAATCCTGCAATCGCCTCGCTGTAGTTGTAGACAAAAAATCACTGCATATATTTTATAAAAGAGAGATATTCATATCTAAACACTTAATTTAATGCATTCTTAAATTTAATCAAATATTTTTAGGATTGAAATGTAAAAAACAGTCTTTTTTTATTCCAACTCATTATAGGTTTTATCTTTTATTAAGAGTTCACAAAATTATATAAATTTCTCATATTTAATTGGCTCAAAATTAAATCTAACCATAAGCAATTAATACTAGCCTAAAGAATTGCCGTTATAAATCTTTCTGTCTAATTCAGGATTGAACAGAAATTAAGGGCAAAATAGATTTTTAAAAAAATAATTTTTATAAAGATATTTAACAAATTAATTATCTTGTTGCAAAAATTTTCTTTTTATCGATAATTTTTTTAATTAAATAAATCATCTGAAAAAAAATATATCATCTGGTAAAATTAACATTATATACTGCTATATATCTTGCAAAAAAATGTCAACATAATTTTTTTAAAAAAATCAAAACCTAACCTAAATACTTAGCGAGCTTGTGAGAGTAAATTATTAAAATATCGAATTATTCTAAACAGAAATGGTAGAATTCGCAGCTTTCAAATCATTGAAAGTATTCTAAAACGAATATGAATAGAATAAATTCGTATGAAAACGAGTAGTAAATTATTCGATTTTTTTAAAGGAATCGTTACGAATAATTTATTATTTGATTCATATTAATTTTTGAATAGGCTGATTGAAACATCAAACAGTCTTTAAAATATTATTTTGTATAACCTTCCCGTTTTTAAAATTTTCACGCTTTTTAGCGTTTTAATTTTCGGTCACAGAAATCTAATATCTATAATTAATATTTTATTGGTTAATAATATGTTTATTTAAAGTTTTAAAGCTATCTTGATCCCCTAGAAACGCTAAAAGCTAAACTTTAAATGTTTTTATGTTCATTAGCAATAAAATGTATCATTATGGTTAAAGCCTTAAGTAAAATTTTTTTTAGTTGGATAAGGGGAGAGGAGATATCTTTCGTATTTTGACCAGAAATTAAATATTTTGATTGGATGCGATAAGAAATTGCAAATTTCGATCACTTTTCTTCATTTTTATGGTTTAGTTTTTGAATAATAAATAAAATAAGCAATAATATACGCAAAATATAAAAAATTGGTAAATGACTAAATTGGTTTTATATTAATAATAATTTATGTAATATTAAGCATATATGTAATGTTAAGCATAATTTATGTAATATTAAGCATAATCTAGACATATTAAGGTTAATTTAAGTAATATATTTTTTCAAAAATTCGCTTTTAAGCTCGATTATGGCATTAAATTTATTATAATTTCAAATATCTTTTCAACCTTTCCAACTACATTCATTTTTATTAATTATTTGTGCATTTCAGGGATCAGAGGTGTGTGTACCAATACAAGAATCGCAACAATAGATTATAGCTTTAATACCGTCATCTTTCTCTTTTTTTTAAATCAAAGTTTCATTTATAATAATTAAAAAAATTATGGGAAACTAAAATGGAGTGTCACCAGCTGATAGGTATTCAACGACGAAGTATCATATATCATTGGCTAAGCCATGCTCAAATAATTTAGAAGTTTTTTTTAAAAAAAAGCTAGATTAAAAAAATGAGTGTTAATCATCAGACCAATACTTGGTCTTAGTAACGGTACACTTTTTTTCGGGGATATTATGATTCTAAAGAATTTAATATAGTTCTATTATTTTCAGCAGACCAATTAAAGATCGGTTATTTTTTCACGGGAAGAGCTCATTTTTTATTTTAATACTTCTTATATAAGCATTTTAAACTATCTTCGTCTTACCAACAAATCTTTAGCCTAATTAAATAGTGAAAATTTTAATTCGAGTTTTATTGTTTATTTAATTCCGAAATTAAAGAACTTTTCTAATGTAAAGCATTCAAAAAAACAAACATGAAATGGTAATAAGATCAAATGGACTATTTATCCCACCAAACGAAAATGTTAAGGCTAGCTCCAAAATATGGTATCATCAATATAATCGGTTATTTATTTTTAAATATTATGAACCAAATATTTATAATTTATTTCTCATTATGAAGCCGCTATTTCGCATGAGACCAAAGAAACCCCGCTTCATCCCTTAAATCTAATAATATTCTTACCCAGCTAAATAAAATAATGTAATAAAAAATAGCGAGCCATGTGTTTAAAGCGCTGATATTATCAGACCTCCAGGCCCTGCCCGGCCAAAGCCCGTTCTGGATACAAGAACCGGGCCGAAATTTTTCCAAAAAATCCGAGCTGAGCCGTTAAAAGTTTTATAACAAATCCGGGCTGTGCAATTAGTATTTTTGTAGATTTCTTTCTAAAATATTAAACCAAACCTAATCTTATAGAAATTATCCGAAATTTCACAATAACCAAAATCCTATAATCAATTTTACTATAAGAAAACTATCCTTTTTTTTAAATAGCCATAGAATTTTGAAAAGTTACTTGATTCGCCGGATGCGATTCTATCGATATTTTCTGGTGATTTTGACTCCATAATATTGCTCATGATTTCACATTTATCAACATGATCGTTTTCATTGTCAACTGCATACATTGTTGAATTGGAAGGTAGATCAAATAATATTCGCTCATCTTTAGAGCAACCTATTAATTGGGTAACACCATCTAAGGTGTTTTTGCAATGAGGATATGGTTCTGATTTGACATCATTAGAAGAATTGCTGAAATTAGTGGTACTGCGGAATATGACATTCGTATTATTAATAAATCTGGTATTACGATGTAGTTCGTTTTCCGCCATTTTAGAACAAATCTTTAGGACCGATTTGTTTGGTAATGCCTCCATAATCCATTGATCTTAGATAGCTATGGCGTTACACAAAATATAAATATATTAGATTAATTTGAGATACAATAGGTAATTAGTGTTATGTTTTCTTTTTTTAAAAAAACCATATCTATAAATTTCAATTATTTTAAGTATTAGATGAACCCATAAATATATTATAAGCCTTTAAATGAACAGCAGGGCACTTATTATACATATTTATATTAATTATATATAAATTAAAAGTTTATTTTGGCAAAATGAAATTTTTTTTTACCATGTGTGCTTCGCTTGACACGCAAAGGTCATCTCAATTTGTTTGAATATTCAATTTAAAATTTAATGAAATGATAAACCGGAGTTGAGGGTCAATTCGCATAAAATTATATCCGATTAATTAGAGTTTAAAACTGGAATGAACATTTAAATATTTTAAATAAATTAATTATAGGTCAAGATTTTACTTCCAAAAATTTTTTTAAAAATTGCTTTTAAAGTAGTAATCGTTAGAAGTGCCTATAGGCAAAACTTTGGAGAACCCCTCTGAAAATTTGCATTCCTATGGTCCTTTCTTTTGCAAATTTTTGATAAAATTTATTTTTAATGCTAATTTTAGATAGAATTTTCCTTTTTATGCTCATTTTAGATAGAATTATCACTTTTTTTGCTATTGGAAATTATTTTTAAAAAATCTCCCTCAAGTTGAAAAAGCTAACTAGGCCATTGATTTATATATTAACGTTTCTTTTTATGTAAATGGTAGTTGATATCAATGTAACATGATAAATAATTATCTATACTAAGGTTGGCTAAATTAAATGAGATTGATTTAATCAATTGTATTAGCTTTTCATTTCAAATAAAAACCTTTTTATTTTATAATTTGCAAAAATTTTATAAATGATTAATAAATGTATTCAATTATTATCTTTGCCTGTGGTATTTTTTATGCCAGGGCATATTTCTTAAAATTATTTCTATTTCACTGAATTTGATTTATATAAAAAAATCATAACTTAATCAAATAAATAAATATGATTTTTGACAGCCTTTCTCAATACTAAAATCACCCTTATAACATAATAGGGTTTCTTCTTTGGTTACTTTACAGAAGAAGGTGGTCACGGTATTGACATTTTTTTATAACTATTTTATCTCGTGACATTAAAAGGCAAGTTGAGATAAAAGGCAATTTGTTGAAAAGGGTGATTTTATAGAGGTCACAACTAGTTACTGTAATATCAAATTATAATTTACAGTATAGAAGTAATTTGAAAATAAAAAATATTTTAAAATAGGCCATAGGCAACTTATAACTTAGACCTGGTAAACATAATGTTAAATTATGATGCTATGCTATATTTAGTGTTGTTAAATGGCTCGATTTCTTTTGATTTTTAAAAACGGCTAACTTAAGATTTTAGCCAATAAAATATTGCCAAAACCTTGAGATTTCGCTGATAGATGTCCAAACCTTTATGCCATCTATGAGCAAAATCTTCAGGCTTACATTATTTTCTTCTGGATAAAATATTGAGTCAGCCGTTTTTACAAATTGGCTCAAATCGAGTCGTTTAACAACACTAGCTATAGTTTAGCAATTAACTATGCATCACTTGAGCAACATTGAAATTTCATACTTATTATAAACTAAAGAATTTAAAATCGAGATATTTCGAAACCCTATATATTCCATATTTTTTTTATACATAATACTATTATTTTTTCATTATATGATATTTTAATTGCACTTAAAATGAGAAACAAAGTTGATAGTAATATAGTGACCACAAAATATTATGGTAGACCATGCTGGATTTTGTTATTTTGTTTCAATTTTCATACCCTTTATTATATAATCTTTATCATTCAATGGCTCAAACCTTTCACTCATCAAGCGAAACCTAATAACCATTTTATATTAATAAATGATAAATAAAAGTATCATTATCTATTATATTTTTACAATTTTTAAACCCAGCCCAATTTAAAAAAAAATTAGGCCTGATCTCAAATTATTTAAAAATTTTAAAAACTCTATTCTTGAACACTTATTTATTGCTGATGTTTTCAATTTAAGTTTTTTATACATTTTTTTAAATTATCAATTGATTTTCTAGAATTATCTTAAATAAATTGTATTCTGCTTTTTCTAAATTTAATGATATTTATAAATTAAGAATATAATTGCTTATAAAATACAGCAAAGATTATTAAAAATAACAAAATTTTAAAAAAACTCTGAACCAAGCTTAAGATTGAAAATACCCAGACAAGTAAAAAAAAAATCTTCTTAAATCCAAGCTGGGACTAAAATTTTGACCTCTGCAAATATATAGATAAAATATATCATATCATCTATATATTTTTAGATTTAATTTAGAATGTTACAATTATATATAACATTTATTGCAATATCATTGAAATTTTCATATTGTTAAAAAATTATAATCGCTTAATAAATAAAAGTAGTTTAACCTCATGTTAAATATTGTCTAATATTAATAAATAATGAAGAAATTATGTGATTATACTTATTAGTTTGTTATTATATTATCATACATGTAATAGCTTTGTATAAGATAATGTATAATTATTATCAATGCATCCAGTGAATCTATTGTGAAAAGGATCATATGGTATATATTGTAATGTATCTTTACATATTCTACCATCGAAAAATAAAAACTGACAGATGATTGACCCCTGATTATGTTCTGATACCATTTGAGTTTAATATTATTCCGCTTTTATAGAATTATGAAAAAATAAGAGAAAATAATTAGTTCGATAAAATATGACCAATACTTTTAGATCAGTTGTGCTTTTCCTAACTTGTGAAAATAATTTAGGTATTTTTATTAATTGAGAAACCAAATATTTTTTCGTGATATAATGCCGCCCATGGGCGTAGCCAGGATTTTCCTAAGAGGGGGGATTAAGAATTACTGGGTCTTCAGCCCAATTTTGTCCGGGCTTCGGCCGGGTTACCTTAGTCTATATATAGTCATAAAATATTTTTACAAGATAGGAGGTTAATTTTAATAAAAAAAATAAGCCTGGAGCAAATATGAAATATATTTTTATTGGCTTATATGAAATATATTTTTATTAGTTTATATGAAATAGAATCAATTACTTGTATATACATTAATATAAAAGCATGGTAATAATTTATTCCAAACAAGTATAAGAAATTTATTTATAAAAAGTAAGTGGACATATATTTGAAATTCCTCTATTATATAGAGTTAGTTACAAATTACTAGGTAAAATTCCACTTTTACAGACATATTTGGCAGTTAGAGAATATATTACAGTTAATATTTTTACAAATTTTAATAATCAATGCTCTTGATAATAAATATAGCAATAATTTGCATTCAATTATTTAACGCCATCTATTTATTTTCAAAAAACATTTAAATAACTATTATGATAATTGTCACTTATCTAGGGTACATCTTCACTAAAGTTTTAATTAAACAGGTTAGAAATATTTATTTTTACCCATTTACGACAAAAAAATTTTAAAAATAACGATAATGATAATTGTCACTTATCTAGGGTACATCTTCACTAAATTTTTAATTTAACATGTTTGCAATACTTATTTTTGTCACTTAGCGTCAAAAAAATTAAATACGTTTAAAAATACCGATATAATTATCATATTTCCAAAGAACATCTTCATTTAAATTATAATCATTTTTATAATATATTACACTTTTATAACAAAAAATTTCAAAAATGTTAAAAAAATGAACATGACATCTATCACACATTAAAATATTAACCTTAAAACGATCGTATATAATAACATAAAAAAGTTTAATGTAAATATTTAAATTATTTAGAAAAAACTACCTCATTTAACAGCCTTAAAAATTAGATAATTTTATAAAAATGATAAAAATAAATAAAAGATTTCACCTAAAAGATTGTTTATTTATAATAAAATTCAAGAGATTTAAAATTCAATCAAAAATTATTTTCATAAATATTTTGAAAATCACTTAATGTTATTGTAATCATTTTTTTTTATTAAAAAACATTATATCATTTTCACAATATAATATAAATTTCATTTCATATAAATAAAAAATATTAAATCAAATCATATGTTTTTTTGTTGGTAATAAAATATTATAAAAAAAAGTTATTTTACCTAAATAACACGAATTTGAGATTTTTATTATATTCTTTTAAAATATATAAATAAAATAAATTTTGGCTCAAAATTAGACTCGAGCCAACTCCTGAGCCAGCTTGAGCTTGAGCCAAATTTTCACATCAGACCTCGAGGTTTAAGCCAAATTTTCGGTTCCGACCTCGAGGTTTTAGCCAAATTTTTGGCTCCGACCTCGAGGTTGAAGCCAAAATTTTTAGCTCCGACCTCGAGGTTTAAGGCAAAATTTTCGGCTACGACCTCGAGGTTTAAGCCAAATTTTCACCTCAAAAACTGGCTGAGTTTACGACTAAGCCGGCTTGGCTCAGCCGTTTAACAACACTAATCACCATGTATATTTTTTTAAAACTTTTAAATTATAATTTTTCTTCCTTTTTTGCCGTCTGGCTAGCACCACAAAATTTCATTTTTTAGAGATATTTTATTTTTTGTTTTTGTAAATTTATATAAAATAAAATCATAAATATTTTCACCTTATTTTTAAAAAATCCGAATTATAAAAAATTATTTATTGCAACTCATTTTGCAATTGCATAAAATGTTCCCATAGTTTGTAACAGGGAAGCTCCTAAATATTTTTAGCAGTTTAAATAAAAAATTAATATTAATGTACATCAATTAATTTGAGGAGTATATGTGGTTACTATAAAAATAACATAAATTACCTATGATTGATATATCTTTGTTGGGAACTCAAAAGATTAGAGGCAATAAATGGTGTTGAAATTCTTCCAGCACACATTCCTACCCATATTTTATTTTGTTCACCTAAAGTCCTATGAATATGTAATAACATGTGATAACCTAATATAAAGTTATTTTGTCCAATTATTTGAGAAGAAATTAAGTTTTGACGTTCACTATCATTTAATTATGAAATAAAAGGAGAGCCCTTTTTAAAATGTTAGGAATACTATTCCCAATATTATTGGTAGCAAAACTATTTTTCCATGCATGAATTATCAATAAATTTATTTTTAATATGAATTAAGAATCGTATTAGGGAGGGGGGGGGGAGGATTTTTTTTTCATAGAAATTTTAAATTATTATATTCTGAAAATTTATTTTTGTCTTTGTGAATTTATATTAATACGATTATTTTATTTTTAATTTTAGTTTAAAATATTTTTAATGCCTCAATTTTTTTTACCCAACAGATACAGAATATAATTTACTATTCCCAATATTATTGGTAGCACAACTATATTTCCATGTAATTAATAGATTTGTATAAGGGTGTTTTTAATGTGGTTTCAAATTTCTAATATTTTAATAATGGGCCCATTCTTTTCTTTCATATTTAAATGATCGTGGGCTTCAAAACTTAATTTATTGTCAAATAATTGAACAAAATAACTTTATATTAGGTGATCACATGTTATTACATATTCATAGGATAGATAGAACTAATATCTGTCCTAAAAATTTAGGTGAACAAAATAAAACATAGGTAAGAACGTGTGCTGAAAGAATTTCAACAAAATTTATTGCCTCTAGTATATATAAAACTATAAAATTAAATGGTTTTTAAGTTCCCAACAAAGATACATCAATCATAGATAATTTAAGTTATTTTCATATAACCACATATACTCCACAAATTAATTGATGTATATAAAATATATTAATTTTTTATTTAAACTGCTAAAAATATTTAGGAGCTCCCGAAATGTCATAAACTATGGGAAAACATCGTTGTGCAATTGGAAAGTGAGCTACAATAAATAATTTTTTATAATTCGGATTTTTTAAAAATATGTATTCAGGTGAAAATATTTATGATTTTATTTTATATAAATTTACAAATAGAAAATAAAATATCTGTAAAAAATGAAATTTTCTGGTGCCAGCCAGACAGCAAAAAAGGAAGAAAAAAATATAATTTAAAAGTTTTAAAAAAATATATATATTGGTTCTGAATATTTTTTAAATATATTTTTTATAAATATTTTAAAAAAGAGATTCCGAATAAAACGTGGGGATTCAAGATCTCGAATCCCCAAGTTGGGATTACGAATCCCACATGATTCCGTATCCCAATACGAAATATATTTAAAATGTAATTTAAATTGTTGATAAGAAAATTAAAGAATAAGATATGTGTTGGTTTATTCTTAGTCCAGTTTTAATGAATAGGATATATCAGGCGCGTACGCAGGAATTTGGCTTGGGGGGGGGATAATAAAATTTTTTAAGAAATAATTTTTTTTTTTTAAAATATCAAGCATAAATTTATTAGGACTAATAACTATTTCTAATACACAATTTTAAATTAATGTGAATTATAAAAAAATTATACAAAAAGTTTCTCAGGAATAATTGCATTTTGTATGTTATATATTTACAATGTAAAATCCAATCTTCGTATCTCATCCTTGCTTGTCGTCAAATACCTATGAATATCCAAAAGATCCAAACCATTCAATCTACTTTCAGATGTTGTACTTCTTGGTATGTTTTTCAGAGACCTGCAGGCCCGGCCCCCGGGCTGGACAGTATTTTAATTTTTTTAGATATACCCGGGCCGGGCCCGAAATTTAAAAAAAACACCCAAACCGGGCCTGAATTATTTTAAAGAAACACCCAATCCGGGCTGTATTTTTTAAAACAGCTTATATTTGAAATCGTTATTATTAGCTATAAAAATCAAAAATAAGAAATATGTCATATATGTTTCATTTAACCCCTTATATGTTTCATTTAACCCCCTGTTGGAAGATGAAATGGTGTAAATATGGGAGTATTGATGACCAAGAGCTATGACTCGATGAAAAGGCCGGAAAAGATTGTGAGAAGATGATATAACCGATGAGAAATGAAGCGAATTTGGAAGATTATATGAAAAATAAAGAGATCTTAGTAATTAAATTATATTTTTTTAAGAATGTAACACGTGGCTTCTAAAGGGTGGGCGTGTTGTAGTTTTGTGTTATTGTTATATACAGTAAAAATATGATTTGTTGTAACACATTTCCATAATGTGAAAAAACATTCTTATATAATTAAATAACTTTCCATAAATATTGTAAAAACTTGTTGAGATTTTTTTTAAAAACGTTTAAAAACTAGAAAGAAAATGTTGAGAAAAACATTTATTATTTTAAAAAACTTCAGGTTATTTAACTTAAATTAAAACTTTTGCGACATTTTTAATTTTAAACTTATAATAATTTTTCATAAGTTATAAAATACTAGCTAATAACCCGTCAAGAATGACGGGGAATTAGAATTTTCTCCTTTATAACTATTTTTATATCTTTAAAAACTCAATCTATGAAAGGATGATAGATATTAGGGCTCCCAGGTTCTTAAATATAGTCGAGACATCCCGGTGCTTGAGACATTTTCTTTATTGTCAATAAAGGACACAAATATACACCTTGCTCACATTTAAAAGATAAAAGAAAATTTTACCCAATAATTAAGATTTATTACATGGAAACAATGTCTCTTATTGGAACCTCAAATATTATATTATCCACCAGAGCTCATGTTAGTCAGCATTTCTGTTCACTCCCCATCGCGTGAAGGTAGGAGATGGATTTTAGGGGAGCAAAGAAATGAAAAAAAGAATGAATAAAAGAAGGAAGAAATAGAAAAAAAGAGACAAAGATATGAATTATAAGGAAATATAATAATTGTGTATACCTTAAGTAACGATTATGGGGTTCCAACACATATACATTTGTAACCATATAAAAAAATATAATATAGTAAAATTTATTGATGATGATGATGGTATCGTGTCTATGATGTTTTTGGTCGATGTAGTGTCGTTTTTTTGATGTAATTTCCTTGCTCGTAACTTGCCGTAAATAACTGGAAATAAAACGTGTAAATTGGAAGTATAAAATAAAATTTACTGATGATAATGATGGTATCGTGTCTATGATGTTTTTGGTCGATATAGTGTCGTTTTTTTGATGTAATTTCCTTGCTCGTAACTTGCCTTAAATAACTGGAAATAAAACGTGTAAATTGGAAGTATAAAATAAAATTTACTGATGATGATGATGGTATCGTGTCTATGATGTTTTTGGTCGATGTGGTGTCGTTTTTTTGATGTAATTTCCTTGCTCGTAACTTGCAGTAAATAATTGGAAATAAAACGTGTAAATTGGAAGTATAAAATAAAATTTACTGATGATGATGATGGTATCGTGTCTATGATGTTTTTGGTCGATGTGGTGTCGTTTTTTTTGTAATTTCCTTGCTCGTAACTTGCCGTAAATAATTGGAAATAAAACGTGTAAATTGGAAGTATAAAATAAAATTTACTGATGATGATGATGGTATCGTGTCTATGATGTTTTTGGTCGATGTAGTGTCGTTTTTTTGATGTAATTTCCTTGCTCGTAACTTGCCGTAAATAACTGGAAATAAAACGTGTAAATTGGAAGTATAAAATAAAATTTACTGATGATGATGATGGTATCGTGTCTATGATGTTTTTGGTCGATGTGGTGTCGTTTTTTTGATGTAATTTCCTTGCTCGTAACTTGCCGTAAATAATTGGAAATAAAACGTGTAAATTGGAAGTATAAAATAAAATTTACTGATGATGATGATGGTATCGTGTCTATGAAGTTTTTGGTCGATGTGGTGTCGTTTTTTTTTGTAATTTCCTTGCTCGTAACTTGCCGTAAATAATTGGAAATAAAACGTGTAAATTGGAAGTATAAAATAAAATTTACTGATGATGATGATGGTATCGTGTCTATGAAGTTTTTGGTCGATGTGGTGTCGTTTTTTTTTGTAATTTCCTTGCTCGTAACTTGCCGTAAATAACTGGAAATAAAACGTGTAAATTGGAAGTATAAAATAAAATTTACTGATGATGATGATGGTATCGTGTCTATGAAGTTTTTGGTCGATGTGGTGTCGTTTTTTTTTGTAATTTCCTTGCTCGTAACTTGCCGTAAATAACTGGAAATAAAACGTGTAAATTGGAAGTATAAAATAAAATTTACTGATGATGATGATGGTATCGTGTCTATAATGTTTTTGGTCGATGTGGTGTCGTTTTTTTTTGTAATTTCCTTGCTCGTAACTTGCCGTAAATAACTGGAAATAAAACGTGTAAATTGGAAGTATAAAATAAAATTTACTGATGATAATGATGGTATCGTGTCTATGATGTTTTTGCTCGATGTGGTGTCGTTTTTGATGAATTAACTTGAAGCTACAGAATTTAATACGTCCTGATATACGACATTAAGAGTAAATACTCTATTTTCATTCAAAAGTGTGCCCTGGTTTTTTGTAGGTAATATTTTTATTTTTATATTTTTTTTAAATCTGCAACGTGTTAGAGCGACATAGAGCTGATCATGGGAAAACACAGGTTCAGGAAGAAATAGGCCGACATTGTCGAATGTTTGACCTTGACTTTTGTTTATAGTGTTAAAAAAAGCAGGAATTATAGGAAATTGGCGTCTTTTTAATAAGAAAGGCAACCGGGAATCGCTCGGGGAAAGATCAATTCGAGGAATAAAAACGCGATGACCATTATGCGTCCCTGATAATATTTCAGAATCTATGAAATTATCATGTAAATTTTTGATAAGAAGTCGTGTCCCATTGCATAAGCCTCTGCTGGGATTCATGTTACGAAGAAGCATTATTATTGTCCCAACTTTAAGATTTAAAATATGAGGAGGCATTCCTGATGGGGTTTGAGAATGAAAAAATTTAATGGGGAAATTAAGTAAATCCTCAGGATTATATGTTTGTATAGAATCAGCGCTAAAATATATCTTAGAATTTCCTGGTAGTTTTTGAATAATTTCGTTATTTAAATTTTGGGCTATGTTATTTTTAGTGGTTAATATAATTTTTTTTGAAAATAGGTTAATATCAGATATTTGTATGGAGTCTCTATATATAGAATTGATTAATGAATTTTCTAATAATGAATTTGAGATTTCAATCGAATCTGGAGGGAGTAAAGGATTGGAAACATTTGATAAAGATTCTCCAACATTCAAAAGCCAGGAATTATACTCAACATCTTCAGAAGATAACCGCATATTTTTATTAGGTGGATAACTTTAAAATAAACCCATAAATCAGAAGACTTAAGACACGATTCAATAATATCTGCTTTTGAACTGTTTGGAATGACAGGTAAAGTGCCTAAAATCGCCGCTCAGTAATATAACTTTACCACCGAATGGGAACTGTGTTTGCATTATATCTTTAAGTAATCTATCGATACAGCATAAAGCGTATTTAGTCATCATTGTGGCTTCGTCGATAATAATTAATTTGGACCTTTTAATAACAGTAGCATCAGGGGAATGAAGACTCATGCGAGATACAGAGTTATCAATAATCGGAATAGGTAATTTAAATCCACTATTTATTGTTCTACCCTCTTTTAAAAGAATAGCGGCAATGCCTGTTGTTGCAAACGGTAAAACTATTTGGTTGCGTCCTCTAATGTAGCACATTAGGGTATTATACAAAAAAGTTTTTCCCGATCCACCTGGACCATCAATATAAAAACAACGCTGAGCAAAATCATTATTTTCGATAGATTGAACGATTAAATCAAAGGCTGATTTTTGTAAAAAATTTAATTTAGTAATTAGTTTCAATGCCTCAGCTGCCTCAAGATCATTATTATAAAAATCATCCTAAGCTATTAAAGTAGGAACAGGCAAATTGAAATTACTACAACGAAAACCATGGTCGTGCAATACTTTTTCTATATCTGATAAGGCCATATTAATTGCAATAGAATCTGTGGGTATGTGCGAAATCTTCTATCATATATTTTTTAAATTTTTCCCAGAGGTTATTTGGATTCTGGCTGACAAAAAATACAAATAAAGGCAAAAGATTGACGCAACTGTATGGGCATTAAAAATGTTGACGCTTCTTCCATAAATGCTTCCCATTTCTTGTCATCAACCAATAAATTTCTTTTAAAAGCCGCCTCTTTAAAAGTATTATATAAAACTCCATTTACAGTTCTCAAATATTCAAAACTTGTGGCGCCAACAACATGAAGTAATAATAAACGTAGGAAAAATCTCTCGCCGGATTTAGGATCAACAGTATACATCCTTGAAATTATATTGTTTTGTCTTTGTCTAAGTTTCCACTTATTAGCGCTGAAAGTATAATGATATGGTATAGTGACATATAAATATTGACGGGCATTAACATCATTTTTATTTAATTCAAACCAGGCAGTTAATGTAGTATTTCTGCTGGCAGATTTCTCTAATGCCTGACGTTCTTGTCCTTCTATAAAATATACCGGTTGATGAAATGGCAAGTGTATTGCTAATCGATTCATACCGTGAGATCGATCATGCATACGATTTTCTAATAATCTCCACATACATGCACTTACATATCGGGCATTTATATGCATTCTAATTTCATCATGAGATTGAAGCGAATTAGTTTTAAGATCTATATTAGCGCAGTCGTATCTTTTGTAAACGTACTTAAAAATATATTTGACGGATTTTATTGATGTACATATTTGAACATTTATGTGTGCATTAAATTTTAATAATAGATATTTGTTATAAGGGATTACGTATCGATTATCAACTGGCTTACCTCCGACATGAATAAAACCCTTATCTCTACGTTGATAAAATGGATATCCATTCGCATTGTGTTGAGATCCTTTTTGAAAATCTTTCGGAAATTTTTTTGTACACGAACCATTTTCCATGCATGGTGAGTGAGGATTCAAAATACTACATGGTCCATGTATCATAAAGCGAGTTACAATATCATATAATCGGGGTTCGATATTTTTATCTGGGATTTCAGCTCGAACAAAATTATCTATACACTCGGTTGTTTCAATTTTATTATTTTCGCTTAATATAATGAGCAGATGAGCATGAGGTAATCCTCTCTTTTGAAATTCTATGGTATAAACATACGCCGAACATTTGCCAAAGAAATCTTTTTTAATAATATCGTGTAATAATTCAGATAATTTTAAATGAAAAACTCTAGCTAATAAATCAGGTCTATCCGAAGGGTTCTGGCCTTTATAAAGATTTTCTTTAATTTCCCTCCAATTGGGATTGCATGTAAAAGTTATAAATAAATCAGGCTTACCAAACTTAGAAACGATAGCCATGGCATCATGATATCGTTCACGCATGTTTCTATCGGACCCCTGAAAAGAAGAAGGCAAAATAACGGCTCTTCCTAGAGGTAAATTAGTATTATCATTTGCTTTAGAAATATGATCCATAAGCCCTGAATATTCCTCTACACGTAATTTTGATTGGTTTAATTTTATATAATTCAAATTATTAGCTTCGAATCAACAACATATTGATGAAATAATCGCCCAGCATAAAGAATAGGATTAAAAATGTTAGCACGAATAGCTAACCTTGATATTTTAAATTGTAACATAGTTATATTTGATCTTGTTCCCTTGTTAAATGGCCCATTAAATTTCATATCCGTATGCCATCCATAATCACCATAAGGAAATAGTAAAGGATACACCATAGGATCTAAATTTGGGCTAAGAATATTTAAGATAACTAAATTTGAATCATCATTTCGTGGATAAACTTTAACATCACGTTCAAAAGGTGGTTCTCCATCATCGTTATTAAAAATCATTTCTACTTCATCAATATTAGGAATATTAAATCTTCTTCTATCATTAGCACGATCACGGCGAAAAATCTTATTTACCTTTGATATAGGACGGTTTTCTAACCGAGCTTTCATTTCTTCGGCCTTCTCAACCTCACCCAATGTTTGAAAGCTAATAGCATATGGATTTATTTGACGAATTAAAATATCAAGTTTTTTTAATAAATGAATATCACAGGCTGAATTTTCTTTTAAAAGTACATGATTTTCAATAGCCTGAGATGTTTCAAGAACATATAATTGTGCATATTTTGGGGAAACGCCATTAGGAGGATATAAATGTGAAGTTCGATGGTAAATTTGACCATGAACCCTAAAACAGTATGGGCCTTTATTTAATAAATTATCATTTTTAGCCCCCATCGAGGCAAAGGCCAAGGAGCTGTTGTATGAGCGGATATTCTGAGTTCCTCGTCATTCTTGACGGGCTATCAGCTAACATACAATATAAATTAAAAAAATATAAAATTTACTCTATAGGATGTTGAAGCAATAATGCCTTGCTCTTTAGATTTTGGTAGTATGAAACGTTCCATTGTTTGGTTTTGAATGGTCTCTTGTGTAGGAATCTAAAAAAAATAATAAAATAGTATTTTAATGGCCCACAGTAATGTTCAACTTGTTCTAGATTTTTAGTATCTTCAAGATGATTGGATGTTGAAGCAATAATACAATTTGATTGTTTATTTCCAGTATCTTCAAGATGGTTGGATGTTGAAGGAATAAGACTTTGCTCGTGCCTTTTCTTGCTACGACAAAGTGCCTGTCTCTTTCTAGCTTTCTCCTTATGTTGATTTATTATTAAAATTTAAAAATATAAGAATTACTCAATTTTATAAAAATAAGTTTAGTTTAAAATATTTATTATTGTGGACATAAAATATACTAAATATATACTTCATAAACATATTTATAAAAAATAATGGAAAATATTAGAATCCCTCACCTAATAAATATATATTTCGGAATCACATCTTATAAGATAGGAAAAATCTGATTACTCGTCATTCTTGACGGGCTATCAGCTAACATACAATATAAATTAAAAAAATATAAAATTTACTCTATAGTAATGAAGGTCAACGGTCCGGTCCTATCGGTCTTAGACCGGGATCGGACCGGACCGATTGTTGGACCGATCTTTTTCTTGAGGACCGTGGTCCGGACCGGTCTTTTTATTTTTTACGATCCAGACCGCGGTCCGGACTGGTCTTTTATTATTATTTAAGTTTGCTTTACTATACAATTAATATAATTTTTTTGTATATTTTATTTTATGATATTTTTCTAGAGGAGTCATTTTAGATTTTGTTAATTTTTATTTTACAATATGAAAACCATAAGTTTGTCCAAGAAACATTTTACTTATAGTCCCAATAAAAACATAGAGTATGTGTTCATTGCAGTACCAAATTTAATGTATCGTCAGCACCTAGTAACAAAATAATTGTTTATAATTTTTTAAGCAATAAATTAATCAAAATAAGCAATAATATTATTAAAATATTTTAGTTATTATCTAGTTCTATTTTTAAAGAAACTGTCTGTATAATTTATTGTAAAAATTACTTAACCTTATTCTTAATAAAATAATTAGGTACCTTAAGCAGACATCTGATAAAACATAAAATATATACTTCTAATGATGAAAATGAAAATATCTCAAAAAACACAATCTACTCTTAATTTTTATATGCCCTCTACAAGCACAAAATCATTTTCTTCAATACCATTGGATAAATTTTATTGTTTATATAATACTCTTATATTTAATAAAATGATAAAACAAATCAAATTAGGTTAAAAAATATGTTTTTTAAACTCTTTTTATTTAGGACCACGGTCTGGATCGATTTTTTTCTTAAGGACCGTGGTCCGGTCCGGTACGAGGGTATCGGTCCAGTCCGGACCAAAGACCGGACCGTAACCTTCACTACTCTATAGGATGTTGAAGCAATAATGCCTTGCTCTTTAGATTTTAATGCCTTGCTCTTTAGATTTTGGTAGTATGAAACCATCCATTGTTTGATTTTATTGAATGGTATCTTGTGTAGGAATCTAAAAAAAATAATAAAATAGTATTTATAAAAATTTTAACTTACATTGCCTATGAGATAACCTTAAAAAACTTATTTAATATTATATGTATTTATTATGTAAGTTTGTATTTTGTGCAGGAATCTAAAAAAATAGTATTTATAAAAATTTTAAATTACATTGCCTATGAGATAACCTTAAAAAACTTATTTAATATATGTATTTATTAAGTAAGTTTGTTTTTTGTACAGGAATCTAAAAAAATAGTATTTATAAAAATTTTAACTTACATTGCCTATGAGATAACCTTAAAAAACTTATTTAATATTATATGTATTTATTATGTATGTTTGTTTTTTGTGCAGGAATCTAAAAAAATAGTATTTATAAAATTTTTAACTTACATTGCCTATGAGATAACCTTTAAAAACTTATCTAATATTATATGTATTTATTATGTAAGTTTGTTTTTTGTGCAGGAATCTAAAAAATAGTATTTATAAAAATTTTAATTTCCCTAAATCTGCCACTTAACGTGGGTAAAATAGAATAGATAAATGAATTTTCAAATATAAAATAAGATGCTCAGATAAAACGTAAGTATATATGAGGTATATTATACCCGCTGTCTTGCTCTTTTTCTATAGAATACTTAAATATCAATTGTAGCTACTGTATAAGTCGCATATATAACTTAGAAGATTTCTATACAATATGACTATAGAAACATAAACAGTAGTAGCATAAAATTAAATTATAGCAGAATAGCGATGTTTGACATAACTGTTTCATGTCATATTCAATGTGCCTTTACTTTTTTTTCACTTAGTACAAAAGTTACTTTATAAATAGTATCATCTTTTATTATTATTACAATTTATATGTTATGTGATAGATGGAATGGGAGGGGGAGGGGGGGGGGGTTAAGCTTTCATTGATAAAAATATTCTAAGACAGACAACAATATTCAATATTTTATTGGGTTACAAAACTAATACCAATACAAACCAAAATATAAAACTAATACCACTTAAGCCAATCTCAATAACTGATAAATTCATCTAAAAGTAGAGATATATACATGTTTAAAAGCAATGTCAATATTATTTACAATTATACGTCATTACCTATTGATAACATATTTTATTAACCCATTCAAATAAATAAACCAATGACCAGTTAAAAAATATATAAACGATGTCCAAAATAACATATATTTTAAAAAAGTAAAAATAAAAATTTAATTAATACAAATATTTTATATTTTTAAATTTATTTCGGGTAAGTGTGAAAAATATTTCCTTATATTGGACGCCTTTATTTAACAGCAATAAATGGTGTTATATAAAGTTATTTTATTTTTTTATTCAACACGCTTGTTTTTTTTTCTTTAACAAATAAATATTAAAAAAAAGTTGTTTATTATTTTTTTTAATAAATTTTTTTTTACGTATTTTTTTTATGTAATGGAAAAAATATTGATGCTTTTATTATTTAATATATTTTTTAAATATTAAAAAAAATAAATTTTTTTTACGTATTTTTTTTATATGGAAAAAATGGTAATTTTTAAATTGATGCTTTTATTATTTAATATATTTTTATTTAATAGGAATTAAGATATAATTTAGAACTAAAAGATTTTTCTACATTAGAACAGTTTATGAGTAATTATGAGAAGAATACCTTTTCAAATTATTATATTTAAAACATATTCCAATAGTATGGACCACAATTTATAACCCAGATTGAAATTTTTCAAATATATTAGCACATGCATATCTTAGAAATATTCATGAAAAGTTATTAATCTAATAATTGTTAAAATTTTTTATAGATGTTGAGGAATTTAACATTATTCCCAAACAATAGGGCCAATTAATGGGATAATTGAATGTCTTATTTAATCATGAATTAAGTTTTTATTATAATCTTTTGATACTATTAAAAATGTAATATTTCATTATATAAATAACCTTCATGCAATTTTGTCATAATATTCGTTTAATAAATTTAAAAAAATTAATGTTAATAAAGTAAAACAACCTATATATCCTGGCAGGGGAGACCGGGGATGGTTGGGACACTTTTCGTTCAAACCTTAATAATTTTAATATTAATAGACTAATCTGAATATTTAAAACTTCTTCTGAATCCCAGAAGTATAGGCTATTTGAAATAATTAATATATATTTTATGAAGATTATATTTTTTTAGAAAATTGAATTTAAAAAAAAAATTTGTTTTGTCCCAACTATGACAGACTCTGTGTACGTTGGGACACACATATGTGATAGTTGGGACACTCGTGAAAGAGAGGTCTAAATAAATTTAAAAATTTAAAATCAGTAATCCAGTAAGACTAGAGACTATGACACATATGATTTTATTGATAATATTGTAATTCATAATCAATAATTATATAAAAAAAAATTTAGCAAAATTTAAGAAATTTATTTTGGGGAAAAAAAAATTGTAAAGAAAAAAATGTAAAATTTTTTTCATAAACATAGCGAAAGATAAGTATTTAATTATTCATTATTCACAATACTAAATTAATAATAAAATTGTTTATAAAATGAGCTAAAATGGCCTGTCCCAACTATACTATGACCAACTATGACCGAGCCCACTAACTTTATAAATATCATCCAAAATCAAATTAATTCATGTTTATTGATTCTGAAAGTTTGCCAGATTGGAAAATAGGGTTTAGGCTTTCCTAAGATCTATTTATTATGATTTTTGAAGCTTTATTTATAAATATAAACGATAAAGTTTGCAAATATTTTTTATTACTTTTGGTATGCCATAACACCTATTCTTCTGTAAAAATTAAAATACTAAATATTTTTCAAATCTTTTTTAGCCAATCATGTATGACAAAATTATCTATGTTAGGCTCAAATTTCCAGTCTTATAAAATAATAGCTCAAATTATAATTAGAATGTCCTAACGTTCCCCTGTACTCAATGTACCCCGGTCTCCCCTACACAAGACTTGTTACGCTTTCCATATTTATATAGATGCATGGCCTAAGCTTAATGTTCTAAGATTTATAAATACAATTTTTTATTTTAATCATGTAAGGTGAATATAAAATATCAAAATTTACTAAATAATATTTATTCAGTTTGATATTTTATATATAAAAGTAAAATATTTTTGTTAGCTTATTAAGACATGGTGACAGATTTCTTAATCAAATCCCAAATATGGTATTATTTTTTTACATAACATAAAAATAAATTGGCTGAAAGATACTAAAATAAATTGCAAGGGACTTGTGAAAAATGAGCATCAATGGCTACAGCTTATTCTTATGCCATTGAATTAAAATCCAGGAAAGGCTTCAAATTTTGATCTCTTCAATAAATTGTTTCAAATAATTCTTAATTTTATAACTTTGCTAATTATGTTACCCCTATTTCCATTAGGCAAAAAAAATACGTAAAAAAAAATTTATTTTTTTTAATATTTAAAAAATATATTAAATAATAAAAGCATCAATATTTTTTCCATTAGATAAAAAGAATACGTAAAAAAAAATTTATTAAAAAAATATAATAAACAACTTTTTTTTAATATTTATTTGTTAAAGAAAAAAAACAAGCGTGTTGAATAAAAAAATAAAATAACTTTATATGACACCATTTATTGCTGTTAAATAAAGGCGTCCTGATATATTTGCAAAATATATTTGTGCAATTATTGGTGCAATAATCATTATAATTCATAAATGTTAAATAACTTATTTTTATGTTTTTAATTTATTATAAATTTATCTACAGTATTTGATTTTTTTGTGCAGGAATCTAAAAAAGTATTTATAAAAATTTTAACTTACATTGCCTATGAGATAACCTTAAAAAACTTATTTTATATTATATCTATTTATTACGTAAGTTTGTTTTTTGTGCAGGAGGAATCTAAAAAAATAGTATTTATAAAATTTTTAACTTACATTGCCTATGAGATAACCTTAAAAAACTTATTTAATATTATATGTATTTATTATGTAAGTTTGTTTTTTGTGCAGGAATCTAAAAAAAGAGTATTTATAAAAATTTTAACTTACATTGCCTAGGAGATAACCTTAAAAAACTTATTTAATATTATATGTATTTATTATGTAAGTTTGTTTTTTGTGCAGGAATCTAAAAAAATAGTATTTATAAAAATTTTAAATTACATTGCTTATGAGATAACCTTATAAATAAGTTTTTTAAGGTTATCTCATAGGCAATGTATAAAAGTATAAAATGAAATTTACTGATGATGATGGTATCTTGTCTATGATGGTTTTTCTCGATGTGGTGTCG